GCAAATTCGCTCAAGAGAACTCGCAGCTGCGCGCGCTGCGAGTCGGACAGGTCCACTGATCCTGCGCAAAGCGCATCCAGCCATCCGTCATCACAGTCCGAATGCGGTCGCATCGGAGGATCGGTGGTTACCTGACCCACGAGTGGTTCCTCATAGGGTACCGGCGTCGCGTGTGCAAGCACGGTCCCTTGAGGAACCACGGCCGTTCGCGATCCTACATTAAGGACTGCAATGAAGGGGTCCCCATCCCCTCTCACCATGGTCTGAGCCGCTAGCAAATCGGGTCCATTGACCCCGGCTCGAGATGGTCCCAACAAGACCCCCCGATCCGCAACCCCTTCAGCAAACGGCCGACGCAACCTAAGAGGGACGAGCATCTGAGCCCCCGGAGGCACGCGCACAGTTTTTGTCACGAGCGCCTGCACGGTGGCAAACGCCCGACGCTCCGTGGTAGGGGAAGACAAAAATGTAACACGTCGGCCCGATGGGAGCTCGATGCACGCCTGGTCAATCAGGATACGGATGGGCATTTTGGCCAAGAAATCCGTCCCCAACAGGCACGGAACCGCGAGTGAGGAGGAAACCAAAACAGGCCCGGATAATTTAATGTCTCCAATGCAAATTTTGGCGCGGATTTGCCCAATAATGCCCAGCGAGCCCCCGTTAGCAGCATAGCATGGCACGTCAACAGGGAGCAAGGGACGACTTTGAACGGGAAGGATGTTATAAATCAAATCAGATATAATGGTCGCCGATGCCCCTGTGTCAATTAAAATCCGCACCTCTACCCCATCAATATGACCGACCACAACCGATGATCCCGCCGACGCAGCAACGACACGATGGGCGAGCTCCGACCACTGACCCGGTTGGAGCGCTCGCCGCATTTCAGAACAACCGCGCGCGACGGACGGCGATTTTCGAGCCCTGTTCAGTTGAGCGCGTGAGTGTGTGTCGGATGTGTGCGTGGGCCAAACGTGTGAGGTGCCACGACTCGCCGTATTTCTCTGCTGGAGCTTGGAAGGAGACGGCATGGCGTCCTGACGAGGTGTCGCCCCGCGCTGACGGGGAGCCCGGCATCCTGACGCAACGTGGCCTTGCAGGCCACAGTTGTAGCAGCGTGTGAGCGCCCCAGATGGCCTGGGCTGCTCCTGGCGGCTCGGTCCATTCCGAGCCTGTGGTGCCGCCGATCTCCATTCCCCTCGCCGCTCCACCCCGCAGACCTCCTCCGATGGGAGGGCGGTGGCCGCCATGGCATGGCCGGCCGCCCCCTTGGCCGCCTTTCGACGTAGGGACCGCAAGCCCCCGTGGATGTGGCGCGCGACCAGCAGGGACGACATCTCCGCGTCGTCTTGAGCCAGGACGTTGACGTCCAGCTCATCAGCGAGTAGCAGCAGCTTCTCAGCCACCATGGCATCCACTCCTTCCTCGTCCATCCTTGGAAAAGCAGCCTTCGCCAGGGCCAGGAGAGCCGTCCGGAAGGCCAGGGGCGATTCGTTGGCGCCCCGATGCCGATCGTGGAACAGCTGCCTGCAGTCCGAAGGCGGCCCATAGACGGCTGACAGCAGCTGCAGCGCCAGGTGCAGAGTGGCGCGCTTTTCCCTAGGCGCCGAGGTGAGGGTAGCCAGGGCGTCGTTGTCCAGCATCGCCGGCAGCGCGCGTAGAGCCTCGGCGTCCGACCAGTTCGCCATCTCTTGATGAGCGATGAACCGCCTCTTGAAGCCGCCCCAGTCTCCGTCTGCGCCTACGAATTCTTTGAGAGGCGGCAGACGCTGCTGTAAGGCGACGTCCGTGGCTGCAGATCGCTCTCCGTCGCTCCCAGCAGATGATACAGTGTGGGCGGGCTGCGAGCATGGCATCGCCGGTCGCTCTGATGTTGACGCGCTGGCCGGTGTTGATGATGTCACGGCTTGTGCTTGGCGCTCAGCAGTCACCTGACGCGGGCCGGCCCCGCCCTCTGCTCGCACTGTAGTGATGGCGGGAAATTTAACCGCGAGCCGCGTCGGGGTGGCGGGAAACGTCGCCGCGCGTCGGCTGCCGTCGTCGACCCGCGCTGCCCCTCCAGCCCCCAGCTGCGTGATCTCCTCTAATGCGGCGGCCGCGGCGTAGAGCAGTTCCGCCAGGCGGGAGTGGGCCAGCCGGAGTCCTTCGGCCGACGCATCCCCCCCCTCTTGTCGTAGCGGCGCGGGCGTACTCGGCCCCGGCTGCTCCGATCCGACCCCGGCCATCTCTGGTGGTGATTCGGCCGCGGCGTCTTCCATCTCCGACTCCCTGGTACGTGTCGTCCCTCGTGTGTCCATCGTTGGACGTTTTACTTCTGACACCAGATGTAGTAAGTATATGGGAGGCTTGACGACAGGATCGGAGGCACACTTGTTTATTACACCAACACAGTAATTACAGGTCACTTGGCTACAGGGATGCACGACAGCTAACCCCGCTAACCTATGCCAATTCCTCCACTACAGGGCTAGGGGAGGCTATCTGTCCCAGCCTGGTTAAGCTGGGATCCCGGCACCCTGAGTCTCCAGACCAGCTTAGTCTGGGCTCTCGGGGCCACGCCACCGGCTTGCCCTGGTCGGCCCTTATAAGGACAGCGAGCCAGGGGAGCTCCGGGGCCTATTCTAGCAGGTCTTCCTTCTTCTCTGGTTAAAGCTGAGCCCCGACCCCGAGCCCTCGAGCTCATCACCTTTTATAGGACTCGCCCCCGAGGGGGGGCCCGTGGGGGATGCACATGCGGACGTCGGTGCGAGCGCCACCCTTGTGTACGGCCGTAACCCCGCCCCTTGTGTTTGTTGGCCATCCGTGGCCATGCACAATTACACCTCAACATCCGTAGCCATGCGCAATTACACCTCTACACTAATAAACACGCACACGACACACGACACACACGGACGCAGATGTGTTCACCCCCACAGGAAGATATATGACATGGCCTTTGAACAACTCGGGAAAACTGAGTGGATTTTCCCGATATAAGCCGAGGAAAAATCCATTCAACGGAGATCTTCAGGGCTTCGGCCCCATCACAGATCTCCACGGGGCTTCGGCCTTCATCTCCTCTCGTCGCCGCCAACGAAGAAGCTCTTTCGTCATCCAGTAGGACGAGGTTCGCAGGGTGGCGACGTGCATCGCCAAGCCAAAGTGCTCGCCTGCCGCACACGAGTGAACGAGCTCAACCCCCTTGACGTGCATCGCCAAGCCAAAGTGCTCGCCTGCCGTTCACGAGTGAACGAGCTCAGCCCCCTTGCCGTGCCGCCACGCCGAGGTGCTCGCCTACCGCGCAAACGAGCGCGGCCGCGCCGTCAGTCATCGTACGGGGTCAGCCGAGGGAGGAGTCAGAAAGCGAGCCGCTCACCGCAGCCGCGCAAGCCAGAGGGTCCTTCTCCGAAAGTCGTTCGTACCCACAACTTCCCCACACCCATAGACCCACACACGCACGCATCGACGCCCCACTCACCTAGGAGACTATCCTATCTATTTCACCCTTACCATCGTATCAACCCTAGTCAATTATCAGAAGACTGATTATCAACTACATGAACCATCAGCTGGCCATGAGGAATCGCGGCCCATCGAGTGATTAAGAGTCCGTCGGTTATAAGAGTGAGGTTATTTTCCGTGCCTTTTCTTTTGTTCCGCTCATCGCATAGGCGATCAATAGATTCGTCGAGGCAAACTCAAACTCTCGGAATCCTCATTACAAATCGACCCATATACAGAGAGAGAATATCTTGTCAAACCAGTTTCTTTGTCAGAGAATCTTGCCGAAGAATAATTCAAAGCAGAGCCGATACTCTCTCTCACAACACGCATCCACCCACCCTCATCTCAAAAATTTCGTTAAAGGGATTTTATACTTGCCGATGAATCTATCGACGTATACTTTCGCCTCTGGGGTATAATAAGTTGCTTTTATTGCCTTCATATGGATATCGTCGCATGTCCGTTTAAAACTCCGCCAGTCGCCGGTTGTGCTCGATACATGGGGGAACTACTGAGATGTCTGGTGGGAAAGTAGAATTACGGTTGTTAGAAGAGTTTTAGTCATTCATTTTAGTTAATTGCATAATCTCACCAATGAATAAGTGTTTTTAGTCATTCAATTTCGTTAATTGCATAATCTCGCCAATGAATAAGTGTTTTTAGTCATTCATTTTCGTTAATTGCATAATCTCGCCAATGAATAAGTGTTTTTAGTCATTCATTTTAGTTAATTGCATAATCTCGCCAATGAATAAGTGCTTTTAGTCATTCAATTTCGTTAAATGCATAATCTCGCCAATGAATAAGTGCTTTTAGTCATTCATGTTAGTTAATTTCATAATCTCGCCAATGAATAAGTGTTTTAGTCATCCATTTTCGTTAATTGCATAATCTTGCTCATTCATTTATTGATGCATGTTTGACTTGCATGCTAGAATGTCACATGTTTGTTTAGAATAAAATTGTTATCACAGAAGCATATCGAGTGTTCCTTCCAAGTCCATGCAAAACTGTCTTATTCCCAAGAACTGTATCTTGTGATGAGATATGAAACTGGAGACCTAAAATAACATAACACACACTAGGATAATCGGTAAATGTTTAATCAATGATAATCGTGTTATCCTGATTGATACAACTCTGGATAAACGAAACTAAGCCTAATTATCATAACTGCTCACATTAACATAATCACAAGCAATCGCATAAATTACTACGATTATCTCCGTGATTATCATAATGTATGCATATCATTACACATATTATCATAATTTATGCATATTAATACACACACTAACAAAATTAATGCGATTTGCTAATTTTTCGGAAATTTATTAATTTTTATTATTTTTATCAAAATTTCATAATCCAACACATACAACACCCCCGTCCCCCACTCTCCCTACAAGAGCCACGCTGCTGCCCCACGTGGCTCTCCCCTGGAGCCATCGGCACAGCGGCCGCTGTCACCTGGCCAGGAGCCAGCGGCACAGAGCGCGAGGCCTCCTCACCTTCCTGCGGATGCCGGTCGTGATGGAGATTATGGTGAGAGTCTTCACCAGCGACTTGGACTTGTACAGGATGTTCTCCAGCGCCGTGTACTTCTTGTATGAGGGCCGGTTCACCATGTCCGTCAACAGGGAGATGGCTCCTGCAGCAACAGCACACAACATACATCAGCAGCAACACACAGCGTAAACAACACACAGCAGCACACAAGACACATCAGCAGCAGCACATGCAGCACACCGACAACATGCAGTAGGGGGTCGTCCATCACGCACCTGGGGGGGGGGGGGTCAGACATTTGTGACGATGTGTGACGAGGGGGGGGGTTTGAGAAATATGACGTCACATCAAATATTTTTTTTTTGGGGGGGGCAGAGCTTTGTGACGTCATATTTGAGGGGGCGTCTGACTTTTTGTGCCACCGTGTGACGATGGGGGGGGGGGAGGTCAAAAATCGTCCAAAATCGCGTGACATCATTTATGGACGGCCCCTAGCAGCACACAGCACACACAGCTTATGGACAATATGCAGCACACAGCATAAGCACACAGCGCACACAGCAAACAGCACACACTGCAGCACACAGCGCACACAGCAATCAGCACACACACACAGCAGCAAACACGCACACACACAGAACACACAACACACACACAGCAGAGCACGCTGTCTCTGCCCTGGCTGGGGCCTCCTGGCACGGTGAGGGAGCGGCAGCGCCTCGAGCTGAGCACGCGGCCTGGCAGAGCCCTCAGCAGCACGGGGGCAGTTGGGGGGGGTCACGTGACTGGGTCAGGGGCGTGGTCGGTGACGCCACTCGGGGCCGAGTGGCCACGTGACTCTACACACTTCGACCCCAGTGGCCCTCACACCAAGGGTGGTCAAGCAGCCCGTGGTGAGACTCCTCCTCACCCTGTGCGTTACAGATGATGTCCAGGTCCTGCTCAGTGGCGATCCTGGCCAGGGTGTTCAGAGCGGAGAGCTTGCAGGGTGCGTCGGGCACGTCCAGGTAGCAGGCCAGCACGTCCGCCGCTCGCTCCTGGTGGAAGCACGACTTCAGCTCCGGCACCGTGCTCAGGTTTTTTAGAGCTGTTGCTGCAAACCTCAGCGTGTTGCGGGATTCCTGCAACGAGTCACCACAGCGAGCGTCAAGTTCATTCTACAGCTACATTGGACTTGTTAATATCATAAATGCACAGCATTAAATTAGAAAATCAACTACAAATGAAATGTAATAAATGACATTCCTGATGTAGCATAAGAACAAATAAGATGCACAGACGTAGTTCCTCTTGAAACAACTCGCGTGTTGATGCAACGTAAACGAATTTCAGGCAATACTCGGAGGTGAGTTTGAGTTTCCAATGCGACGTAACAAACGTGATGAACCGCAACACAAACCACGTCCTGATGCGACGCAGCAGCGTGGATCGGCGGTGACGAACGGCGCAAGCGACGCTGAGAACCGCGCTGAGGAAGCGGGTTTCCTGTTCACGGCAAAAGTGACAACAACCTCCTGCTGCTGCTGTGACGATGATGAGCATCGTGCGGTGTGCAGCGCAGCGCCAGGCTGGGGCCTGCCTCTGGCTTTGTCAGGGATCCCTCGGAGCTCTCTGCAGCTGCCTACTCTGGCTGGGCCATGGGATGGGGCTGAGCAAGTGAGTAGCTGCATTGCAACTTGTTTGAGATTGTCTTGAACAATGTTTGGAACGGTTTGGGGAGGCCTTCATCCAGCAGTGGCTGATGGTGGTGATGGTGGTGATGATGATGGTCGAGTGATGGTGGTGATGATGGTAACAATGATGATGTTGGTGATGATGGTGGTGGTGATGATGAGTAATGGTGGTGATGGTGGTGATGATGGAGATGATGGTGGTGGTGATGGTGGAGATGATGGTGGTGATGAGGTATATGATGGTGATGATGTTGGAGATGATAGTGATGTTGAGTGATGGTGATGATGGTGGTGATAATGATGATGGTGATGATGACTTCAACATCGCAGTGCACGGTGCGGGGCCCATGGGAGCTGATGGCACGAGGCGCGCTCGGCCTGACCCCGAATCCCAGCCGCTGAGATCCACTCCGCGTGTTGGGAATCTGGATCTGATCGGCCGCCAGCAGAATGGGATCCCAATCAGTTGCTGCAGGAGACCGGATTCTGTTGCGTAACCACAGCAGCTGCTGCTGCTGCTGCTGTGGTTACATTGCTCAACACGACAGCCACTTTCTCTTGCTGTATAGGCAATAGAAATCCACGTTCATTGAAACACAAAACTATTGTTGTTAACTAGCAAAGACGTCACGAGAGTGAGGCCGAGTTGCTCTGGCACAATGAGATAACCACCACCTGTGGAACTGCACAGGTCTGGGTTCGATCCCCAGGTGGAATTGTTAAAAATGTACCATTATTACAAACAATAAGTTGATGTTTGTAGTAAAGAGAAACCCTCTTGTCCCTGTGACACTAAATCCCACGAGCGAGTGCCCAGAGTGGAGCGCCGTCACTCACTCACTGTCACTCACTATCACTCACTCACTGTCACTCACTGTCACTGTCGCTCACTCACTGTCACTCACAGTCACTCACTCACAGTCACTCACTCACTGGCACTCACTGTCACTCACTGCCACTCACTCACTGCCACTCACTCACTCACTGTCACTCACTCACTGTCACTCACTCACTGTCACTCACTGTCACTCACTCACTGTCACTCACTGTCACTCACTGTTACTCACTCACTGCCACTCACTGTCACTCACTGTCACTCACTCCCACTCACTGTCACTCACTCACTGCCACTCACTGTCACTCACTGTCACTCACTTACTGTCACTCACTCACTGTCAATCACTGTCACTCACTCACTGTCACTCGCTCACTGTCACTCACGGTCACTCACTATCACTCTCTCACTATCACTCGTTCACTGTCACTCACTGTCACTTGTTGCTACAGGGGCTAGTAACTGACTGATACTTGGTGCTGTATGGCTTAGTCACCGACTACTACTTTATGTGATGCTACATGGGACAGTCACTAATACTTGTTGCTACATGGGCGAGTTACCGCTAGTAAGTGACTGATACTTGGTAATCAATGGATGATTAACTCACACTCGATTTAAAGCTTTCGTGACTGCAGGGATTCATCTTCTTGGTTCTTTCGGTAAAGTCACATAGAAGGGAAGTAATAAAATAATAAAAATAAAACATCAAATAATTCTCACGACGTTTCGGCCACAACACAAGCAGCCGTCCTCAGGTGAAAACCAGGTCTGTCGAGGCGACAGCGTCTGAATAAAACAGCACACGTGCTTGGAGCATATATATAAGCTGGGTTTGAAGGGGGGGAAAGGGCGCCTTGACAAAATAATTTGCATATCAAGAGGAATTTAGCATATTTATGGCAAATGCAGGTATGTGATTAGTACTACTTATGCCCGTGCATTATGCAGGATTAGCAGCATCAAAGGGAGGGGATATGGGAAATGCAGGTATGTGATTAGTAATACTTATGCCCGTGCATTATGCAGGATTAGCAGCATCAAAGGGAGGGGATATGGGAAATGCAGGTATGTGATTAGTACTACTTATGCCCGTGCATTATGCAGGATTAGCAGCATCAAAGGGAGGGGATAGGGGTAGCATTAATAAAGGGAAGGAGTGTTAATCAGTATACAGAATTGTAATGTATTACTTACTGTTAGCAACTCAGCTTATTGTAGAGTATATTTAGTAAACTGATGATACTATGTAGTTTATACTTTAGTTGTTTACGTGGTGGTTTTAGTTACTGCAGCTACATACTATTAACACTCCTTCCCTTTATTAATGCTACCCCTATCCCCTCCCTTTGATGCTGCTAATCCTGCATAATGCACAGGCATAAGTAGTACTAATCACATACCTGCATTTCCCATATCCCATCCCTTTGATGCTGCTAATCCTGCATAATGCACGGGCATAAGTAGTACTAATCACATACCTGCATTTCCCATAAATATGCTAAATTCCTCTTGATATGCAAATTATTTTGTCAAGGCGCCCTTTCCCCCTTCCAACCCAGCTTATATATATGCTCCAAGCTCGTGTGCTGTTTCATTCAGACGCTGTCGCCTCGACAGACCTGGTCTTCACCTGAGGACGGCTGCTTGCGTTGTGGCCGAAACGTCCTGAAAATTATTTTATTATGTTTTATTTTTATTATGTTATTACTTCCCTTCTACGTGACTTTACGGAAAGAACCAAGAAGATAACTCACACTCACCAAGCTCTAACTCACTGGCACTCATTGAAGGATTCGCCTTCTCACTCACTCTCCACTCATTCACTAAATCACACTACCACTCATTCTCACTCATTCACACTCTCAATCACTCTCAAATAGGTTGAACTCACAGACACTGTCACTCACACACTGTCACTCACTGTCACTCACTGTCACTCACTCACTGGCACTCACTGTCACTCATTGTCACTCGCTCACTGTCACTCACTGGCACTCACTGTCACTCACTCACTGTCACTCACTCACTGTCACTCACTCACTCACTGCCACTCACTGTCACTCACTGTCACTCATTCACTGTCACTCACTGTCACTCATTCACTGTCACTCACTGTCACTCACTCACTGGCACTCACTGTCACTCACTGTCACTCACTCCCTGTCACTCACTCACTGTCACTCACTGTTACTCACTCAGTCACTCACTGTCAGTCACTCACTGGCACTCACTCACTCACTGCCACTCACTGTTACTCACTCACTGTTACTCACTCAGTCACTCACTGCCACTCACTCACTGCCACTCACTCACTGCCACTCACTCACTGTCACTCACTCACCGTCACTCACTCACTGCCACTCACTGCCACTCACTCACAGTCACTCACTGTCTCACTTTCACTCACTCACTGTCACTCACTCACTGCCACTCACTGTCACTCACTGTCACTCAATCACAGTCACTCACTGTCACACACTCACTTTCACTCACTCACTGTCACTCACTGTCACTCACTGCCACTCACTGCCACTCACTCACTGTCACACACTCACTGTCACTCAATCACTGCCACTCACTGTCACTCACTGTCACTCACTCACTGTCACTCACTCACTGCCACTCACTGCCACTCACTGTCACACTCACTGTCACTCACTCACTGCCACTCACTGCCACTCACTGTCACTCACTCACTGCCACTCACTGTCACTCATTCACTGTCACTCACTCACTGTCACTCACTGTCACTCACTCACTGTCACTCACTCACTGTCACTCACTGTCACTCACTCACTGTCACTCACTCACTGTCACTCACAGTCACTCACTCACTGCCACTCACTCACTGCCACTCACTGTCACTCACTGTCGCTCACTGTCACTCACTCACTGTCACTCGCTCACTGTCACTCACTGTCGCTCACTCACTGTCACTCACTCACTGTCACTCACTGTCACTCACTCACTGTCACTCACTGTCACTCACTCACTTTCACTCACTCACTGTCACTCACTCACTGTCACTCACTGTCACTCACTCACTGTTACTCACTGTCACTCACTCACTCACTGTCACTCACTCACTGTCACTCACTGTCACTCACTCACTGCCACTCACTCACTGTCACTCACTCACTGTCACTCACTCAATGTCGCTCACTCACTGGCACTCACTGTCACTCACTCACTGTTACTCACTGTCACTCACTCACTGTTACTCACTGTCACTCACTCACTGTTACTCACTCACTCACTGTCACTCACTGTCACTCACTGTCACTCACTCACTGGTACTCACTGTCACTCACTCACTCTCACTCACTCACTGTCACACACTCACTGTCACTCACTCACTGCCACTCACTGCCACTCACTCACTGTCACTCACTGACTCACTTTCACTCACTCACTGTCACTCACGGTCACTCACTCACTGCCACTCACTGTCACTCACTCACTCACTGCCATTCACTGTCACTCACTCACTATCACTCACTGTCACTTACTGTCGCTCACTCACTGTCACTAACTGTCACTCACTCCCTGTCACTCACTCACTGTCACTCACTGTTACTCACTCAGTCACTCACTCAGTCACTCACTGTCA